CCTGAAAAAATATGTGAGATGTAAGAGACACAGAAGAAATAAAATCCTGGGACAATTTCTTAAAGCCTGTGAAATAGGGAAATATTGCAAAGTGAGATCAAATTCTGTATTTCAGAACGCGAGTTTCTACCCAAATACCCATTCACAAGAAAATAAAACTCAAGAACAGGCTCAAGACTGAAACTTTTCACACAGATACAAAGCAGGATAACTTGGGAAGGCCCTAGAGTGGACAATGAAAAAGTCCAGGTTCCATAACAAGAGGTGTTTCCCACCTTGGCTAAAGGATAGTGCCTTGTGTCAAAAATAGTATGTTTTCTCGGGTTTTGGATGGCCTTTTTTCATATTTCCAGCAGGAGAAGCTGTACCAACAATGATATTTGTGCAACTAAGACTATTGCTCTTTTTTTTTTTTTTTTTTTGATGAGCAGTGGAACTTACAGAAAACTTGATTTTATGTTAAAATCCCAAATGGACACAGTCAGCTGCTTTCACTGGCTCTGCTGCAGTGCTGGTGACATCCAGAACTACCAGAAGAGTAACTGAGCCAGTTTTGGGTTACATTTATACCAGCTGCACAGAACAAGTGGCTTTTGTAAGTGCAGAGTTCTGCTAATTCACATGAATGCACTGGCTTTTGAAAGTCTGGCTAAATTGTGATGGAACAGTTAAGAGAAGGCAGGTAAAGCTCGTTAATGTGTTATTAAACAGTTTAAATTCTCTAGAGATTCAGACTTTTCATCTTGAACCTAAAATTCAGTGTTGCTGCGTTTTGTAATGATGCACCATTACACCTTCCCCTCCCCTTTAGCATTTCCATTGGAGCAACTTCTCTTAAGAGCAATTGTGTAAAACCACATCATTTCTGTGTGCAGTTATGACCTTACTGGGGGGTCAGTGAAAGAATCCTCATTGGGATGTACCAGCTGAAATGTGCATTTTGCCCCATGGCTAAAAAAGGCAAAAAGAGTCACTAATATGGTCTTTTAGCCCCTAAAAGAGTTTAATAGCCCATTTCCTTATCTTAGATCAACTTTATTATAATACAGTAATTACACAGGAAGGAAAAGTAAGGATCAGCCACATTTAACCTCCTTTGATCTCCCAGGATTCTCTGCACTAAGGGCTCAAGGAAAGGCCTTCACGGACTTCCTGATAACTGGATGAGTGATTATCCCCCTTGTTAATGGGCAATGATATAGAAAACTCTTCCATATGTACAGAATATTCATGAGGGGGCTGCACAAGCCGAGATAAGAACAGAAGATGCCACCAGCAATCACTTATAAGAACACTGTGAAAAAACACTCCTGCTGGGGGACACTGTTACACTTGGGGTTTGTGGGTGAGGGTGAAAGCAGGGCAGAGCCATTGGTGTCCCACTGGCAGCATAATTTGGAGGCAGAGTCTGCTCCCCATGACTCGAGTTTTACCAGTTAAGGGCACTTGGCAATGTGATCTTCCCATGGAAGGTGTCCTTGCCCATGACAGGGGGGTTGGAAGTGGATGATCTTTAAGGTCCCTTCCCACCAGGACCATTCTGCCATTCTGGGACTCTTTCAGCTGCCACATGCCCGTGGTGTTCACCTGCACCTGGAATCTCAGCCTCAAATCCACCCAACCGAGACAGAACATAAATTAATGCCCAGGTAGTACAGCAGGGGTGGAGTGGCTTTCTTTGGGAGAAGCCAAGAATGCCTGAACACCTGAGGGGCTGCCCTTCATCAGGGAATCAGAGAATTGTGAAGGCTGGAAAAGACCTTTAAGACCATCAAGTGCAACCTGCCAACCCAGCAGCACCACCACGCAGCACTAAACAACATTGAGCTTTCTTTACACACGGCCAATACAATTTATTCCTTTTTTTTTTCTCCCCCTGTATCGATACGAACGTAGTTTTTGTAATTTCTAAAAAAAAAAAAAATGCTCTAGATTTGAAAACTGTTTCTGCAAAAATCCTTTATCTGCCTCCCTTCAGAAGTGCAGCAAATCCCAATATGATTTATCGGATGTCCTTGCTTCCGAAAGGCATTGTGGCTACTGAAATAATGAACTACTTGAAAGTCACATTTAATTTACTTCCAAAGAAACAAGCTAGCATTGCTCAAGGTTGCTGGGGAAACAGGAAAGCTGCTTTAGGTCAGTTTGCAGCAGAGAAGACCTGCTGATATTTTGCAATTTGCACATGGTCACCATAACTTTAACAATCTCTTATTTTCAGAAACCTATTTCTGACTTGGTGTTAAATATTCGTCTTCATTCCCACTGCGTGGCCTTGTTTTCAGCTGTGGATTCAGACTCATAAATCTGACTTAAAAATAAGCAGGTTTATCACAACTGTGTCCATATGTCTTCTTTGGGGGCCCATTTATCAAAGAATGCATCCAATTTCAGCCCAAGAGAAGCCCACAGTAGGCACAAAAATCTCATTTCTTGGGCTTCTACAGTACCAAGGTTGTGTGCAATTTCAGCTGATCAGACCCTTTCCAGAACCTTTTATTGGTTCCTCTTAGGCTTTCCTGCCTTAAAGAAAAGTTCTAATAGTTGCCAGAGTTGTAAAATTCAGTTACTGTGTGCTCTGCTACAAACAAAAGGAAAAAATCTCATTTGAAGGCAACGTACCTGAGTTCTGCTCATCCTCCTCCTGGAGGCAAATCAGAACCCCCTTTCCCTTAGGTTGCAGTAGACAGGTGTGATTTCACATGCACAGGCAAATTCATTCCAAATTTACTCAAGGCTGCAGTGGTAAAATGACTGGACCAACAGACATAAGGAAGCCTCTCGTGGCAGCAAGAGAAGATAACACAGGTCTGCAGTGCTCAGGCCTGTGCTCCTTGCTGGAGGAGTTTTCTCCCAATACCCAGTGTCATCCTACAGGTCAATCTGCTAAAATCATGTCAGTCATATAAGTTTCATGTGCAGGAATAAAAGAGTTATCTATACCTTGCCATTTAATTAGTATGATATTTATCTTTTGCAATCCCAGGTCTACAGTGAGCACAGCTTAAAGTTCAAAATTAACCAAGAAAAAATATTAACCAAAATTAAGGTGCTTAAAATAATTGATGGTGTTGAGTTCAAATTGCTCTCTGTTAGTCTCATAGAAGCACAATTTAGAGAGCAGCCTAAAGCAAGAGATGCACAATATCTGTAATGTAGAGAGCACATTGTCTAATGTACATAGTAGACTGGAGAATTGGATTTTGGGGCTCTCAAACCATTACAGCAGGAAATCTCTGGTCCCTCAGGGCATGCATACCTGTGCTGCTGCTGAGGAGGGCAGGAGGGGCTGCCTCTGATGGGCAGCGCTGGAAACCTGTTGCATCCTGCTCAGAGCTCACCCATCATTCTCTTGCAAATGTAAATGTCGCCGTTGCCCGGTGAGACAGAGGATGAGAGACTCGACAAAAGCGGGAGTGCATCGAGAGTGGGACCCTGGACAGGTCAGTGGAGCCGCCCCACTGCAGGGGCTGCTCAGGGGGGTCCCCAAAACGGGGCACTGCCAGGCTGCTCAGGCACAAGGAACTCACCCTTCCCGGGGCACTGATGGATTGTCAAACACAAAGGATCCAAGGAAAGCCCCTCTTTCATGGGGCACAGAGCCCTGCGACCAAAGACACATTACTGATGAAATTGGTCACAAAACTGAGCCTGAGTGGGCAGCCAAACCACATTTTAGAAAGAAATCCTGATGACCATTTGCTGAACAACTCTGATGTGGAATCCCGGACCAGGAATGATTCTCTAATTAAAATTTGCTAACAAGTATTTTACAACATAATTCTAAGACTTTTGCTCTTGGCATTGTCTGGTGTTAAAATCCCAGAAAAGGAAGTGAGTTGTGCCAGTGACAGTATATTCCTGTAGTTTGATGCCATTCTTCGTTGCTTAAAAACTAACTGAACTTTTACACCAGATTAATTAATGTAAAGTGGATTTTCTGGGAGGGGGAAAAAATGAAAAGGAAGATAGCTCATTAAAAAGAAAAAGATCAGGAGCTAATTAGGTCTAGTCAGCCCCAGAGTTGACTCACTGAGGGTCAGTGCTGCTATACCTAGGTTTATTATGCAGTAAAATCAAGGTATTTTATATTGATTGTGATTTTATCTTAAGATACCTGATGTGTGTTAGCTGCTGTGAGGTAGTGCCCGCTCTGAACAACAGCTGTAGCCTCACTAATAATCAGCACATTTGTTTGCAGACATATGAAAAATTATGTACTAATCTATTGGATACATGCAGATTAGCAGTGCTAATTCACTGATTTTAGCCAGGTGCCAGTTGCTTTCTTTGCAGTGGATTGGAGCATGATACATCATGTCAGAAACAAAGTACAGGAAATATTAGCTAAAATCCAATCTTAAGAGCAGAAGGCTTTCCCTCAGCCCTGTTAGCACCTTACATGTGTCATCATCTCCCTCCTCTTTGTGTTGCTCCTCCTTATTTCTCCACAGTTTCTGAGTGGAGACAGTTCTGAGCTGTGAATGAGCAATTCCAGCCTGGCTCAGGTTCTGAACACTCTGGCCACACCTCCCAAAGAGCTGAGTGTGATTTTCTGAAAGAACAACCCAAGGGAGTATTGCAAAACTTGGGTTGTTTTTGACCACAGCAGCAAAGAGCTCCACTAAGGAAAGTACTGCTCTGCCATCTTTAAGATAAATTCATTATTTATCTGGAAGACAAGCTTGCTTTCTTAGAGGAAAACCTCCTCCACCGCTCAGGAAAGGACATCTGAGTGTTTGATACCACAGGTCTGTGAGCAGCCAGCTTGGATTCCTTACACAAACAAAGGTCAGGAGCTCATTTTTTACAGCTCCTCTGGAATACTGGGTTGTTCCCCAATACTCATTTGGACCATGTAACACCGAGGTCTGGCTGACCCTGGAGACTTTTATGGCAGATTCTGTACAAACTGAGAGCAAAAGGGTTCCTGATCCACAAAACTTCCAAGAAAAAGACACCAAGGAAGGAAAAAACCCACAGATACACCTATGCTTTACCTCATGGGATGCCACACAGACCACACAGCCTCACAAAATTACTTCTTATATTCAGAATAGTTTTCACCCAGAACTTTCAGTTTTCCAGAATTTCATCTGTGGAAAGACAAAGAATAGAGAGAGTTCTAGAAAGTGGAATTAAAATGGAGATGCTAAAGGATGTTCTAAGATGAAAAATCGAACTTGCTGAGTATAAATTGGTTATTCACTGATAGCTAATTTAGAGCATAATCACCTAGTCCTACCTGAAGAGTAAATACATTATCATTGGGAAACATTATCCAGTGGAACAAATATAGGAACTTATAACAGTATTAAGAGACTAAATTAAGAGATTTCCGAGAAATCAGAGCTTTGTGCCAGGAAAAGTCCACTTATCTACTGTGAAATGTTCACATTTGTGGAGTGCAGCCTCCTTCATGCCATCAAGCTGAGCCTGCAGCCCTGAGAATTACACACACTCAGGACAGGGCAAAAATAGGTAATTACTATCTCTACATGATGCTATTGTACAAATTAGTATATCCTGCATCTCTCTGAAAAGAAAATGAGGTGTGTGGTTTTCTGCTGTGTTGTAGACTCAGCAGACAATAAACTGATCTCTCATGAGAACACAGCAATGCCAAGTGTTGCCTTGTGCCAACAAAGAAAAAGAAGGAAAAAGAAGAAGAAAAAGGACAAAATGATCAGGGAAAGCATGGAATTCAATGGAGAAAGTGATTTAATTGTGTGGGGGGAAAAAAACCAATGTTCATATGGAAAAAAAAAAGCTCTTCTGCGGAATTGAGGGTTTATAACAGGTAATGGAAAATAATTTTTTTTAAAAAAAGCCATAAATTTGACTTGATAATGTCAGTTTAATTTAAAATGCTGCTAAGTCTCCCAGTGTACATTAGTGTGCATGTTAAGATTGGTGTGTCCATAAAGGCACTCCAACAGCAACACACAAAGCCATGCTAATAGGGTTAGGTGCTCAGGATATAAGGTAACATAAGTGCCATTTGATGCAAGAGTTGCTAGGGAAGGCTATTTTTTTTTTTCCTGTCTCTTAATTAAGTGAATTTAGTGCTTTTGAAAGGTGCCAGATTGACAATCCTGGGACTGAAGTACTTTATTCATGGAGCAGCCAGAGCCCAGGGAAAGTTTCGTCACCCTGCCCCTCAACCTTGACCTGCAGGGCTCACCTCCAGCGATGAGCAGGGCTGGGGACTCACTTTCCAAGCGCCTTCATTCTCTGGCCTCTCTGGGGAGGCTGCTGATAAAGGTGCTAATTAGGGCCAATTGTGATGGAGGGTTTTGTGCTGTGAACACCTGTCCATTAAGAACTGAACTGGGAACACCAGCTTTTTTTATTTTTTTTTTCCATACGGGGCCCAGCACAGCCTCTAACAAGGGAGGATTTTCTGAGCGCTGCTGACCCGGGGCCAGGGCTGAGGGAACATGTACAGCAAAGGCAGCTCGAGCACTGCACTGAACCTCACCCAACTCTTTTTGAAGGGAGTAAATGGGAAAAATGGTTTTTAAAATATAATGTCCATCCTACTGCTTTGGTGACTCCTTTCCACAACTCTCCTTCTTGACTTCTGCCTCTGAGGTGGGTCTTCTTTCAAGCCTGACAGACTATTTTAGGAAAACATGAAAGACCAAAGAAAGACCAAAAGAAAAGGGTAAAACCAAAGAAAGACAAAAATTAATTCAGCAGAGCAATTAATGATGTCTGGGGCTGCCATAAATCTGGAGTATGAGAGTGCTTGCACAGCCTCCATTCCTCTCTGCCATGATCCTGTGGAGAAGGGGGATCCATGTCCATCTGAAAAATGGAGCAATGGGAAAGGATTGTTGTTGAATAAAACACTTCAAATGACCAAGCTGACTTCTGCTTGTTTTATGGCTTCTTTGAGGACACTTGTTTTGAACACTGTGGTTTCCCAGAACCACACACAGTACCTAAGTTGGATGATTGGATGCACATAATGACATTTCACATAATTTCTTGTAATTCTACTCTGATGCAGCTTTTATTCCTTGGTGATGATAACCATTACCAATCTAGAAGCAAAAACTCCCCCAGATCCTGAAACTTTTCTAAGTTCTTTCCTTTTTACTTGATTTAGCACAGGAAAGTCAAATAAAAGTCCCGCTGTAAATAAACTGAGAACTAAGTTGAGGCATCTAGATTGACATATACAGCAGAGTTCATTTTAAAATTAAAGTCTTTAAATGGGTATGTTTTGTTTCTTTTTTTTTTTTTTTTAAATTAGAAAAGGCTGACTCCACCTCTGTAAAGGTGCAATAGAGATACACCAGCTTAGCCTTCTTGACATCAACAAACAGGCTGAAAAAACATTCTCAGGAGAGAGCTAATCTCCTATCACAGTTGAATAGCAGTGCCCTGATGGGAAAGGTTTGGGTGAAAGTTGGAATGAGAAGTGTCTGTAGCTGCTTGTGGCAAAACAAGCTTTTCTGCAGCACTTTTGCCCCCTGTCTTAAGTGTTTCTACTGAGTGAATAGCGGGTGCTTCATGTGACTTTCCTGCCGAATGGAGCATCTCCTCAGCAGGAATTTTGGGCTGCCCTTACCTTCTGAAAGGATATGCAAAGGTGTCCTGGCTTATGCATTAGTCCCATCTAACTTTCCACGTGAGGATGACACGGTGATATGGTTCGAAGCTGGCTCCCTGCCAAGTCTCCAAACCTTACCACAAAAAGTCGTGTCCGTCCCGTCCCCCCACACACACCTCAGGGAGAAGAGGGAGAAAAACAACCAAGAAAACCCGAAACGAGAGAGAGACAGCTAAAGTGATATATATATAAATATATTTACACTTATGTTACAGTTATATACAATTGAAACGTATACAATTTCACAAGGGAAAGGGAAGAGGGAAGGGAAAAGGAACAAAACCAAAATAATATATATATATATATATATATATCCCAATTAGTAGCCCAATATCTAGCAACTAAAAGAGTTAGCAAAGAAATATCTCACCACTCTCCTTGGGACAACCCAGAGTCGCTCTGGAACGACCCCCGGCAACCTCCGTCTCCCAAGGTCGGGAAGGCCCAACCAGGCCTCGCTCCCCAACACGGCAACTCAACAGCAGGGAACCTGCACCTCCAAGCCGCCGGAAGGAAAGAGAGCGAAGGCCTCTCCTCCTTTCTTCTTATAGCCTGGCTTACGAAAAAATCGTAGGGAATACTGGGTAAATCTGGGCCCTTCCTTGGTTACAAACTGGTCACCAAGGAAGGCCCGGACCAAACTACCACACGTGGTCTGATAAAGACTGAACAGAGTGAGGCAAACCAGCACCAAACCCCACAAATCTGAGCTCACAGCAATCATTTCAAGTGCCATCTGCATTAAAGGGCCTCACCTCAGTGTCAGACATGGCATCACATCTGATGAGGAGGCTGTTAAGCCACTTTGGGGATATTTCTCTGATTTTACTCAACTTTCCTGTGAAAGCTGAGAAATCCCCTCTTGGTTCCCCCCCAGTTTTCAGCCTGCAACAGGTGACACCTGTACCTGCACATTCAAATAGAGACAATCATGTATGAGGTTCACTTGCTCTCTCAGCTGGTACAGCTCAAATGGAACTGCCACATGTAGGACCTTAAAATAAGATTAAGGGCCAACATATGAACTTGTGCTTTGAAATAGATTTGTAGTCCACCAGTTTGGAAGTAAGAGTCAAATACTTACATCTGACCAGGGACAAACCCATATTTGCATTTCAGAGGAATAAGGCCAAGGCAGTAATGAATTTCTTAAAGACTGTGACACCCACATTAAAATTGCTCTGAATAAGTATTAACTCTGCTTCACTTCCATCTTTTGCATTGAGGTCACACTGGGGCATCATTGCTTATTTTCACTAAACAGCCCCATGGAAAGTGATCTGCAGCCCAGCATGCTTGGAGTACTTCAAGACTCCAACTTCAATATGAAAATTCAGCTGTAATTTTTTCTGGCCTGTTAATGCGCTTCTGTTCTGGCACCCAAGAAGGAAGCCATTTGCTATATCCTTAGTAGCCTCCTAGATTTAAAAAACTAAACCTTAGAATATTTAAATTTAAAGAAAATAGGGGGAAACTGTGGAACAGAAAGCCAGGAAAACATCAGTCTTCCTCCAGAAGCTAAAACTCAAGATAGGAATACAGAAAAAAAATTCTCATCCTCCCATTGCACAAAGGGCCCAACTCTTACCATTGGTGCTCATCTTAGGAAGCATCTCTGGGCATCTTCCCCCTCTCATGTCCTAGGCATTTTATGAGCATTCCTAGATCATGGGTTAAATTTTAAAATAAACTGACACAGAATTTTTAGGATGGTGCTGGGAGATAACGAGGTGTTCGTCACAGTAAATGATCTTCCTACAAAAAGCTGAGCACTCTGGTGACAATTAACAGCTACAGAGAAAATTAAGAGAGGCATTACAGGATATCAATCCTATGAATACTGACATTGACATTCCTGCTGTCAGCTGACAAAAAAAAAAGTAATTAATTGTTATGGCAGATAAGGTGATGAAGACACACAGACACAAAGACCCACAGACAGCCTGGAATGAAAAAGCAACACATGCAGGACAAGTCCTCTCTTTAAAGAGTCATTCTCAGTGCTAAGGCTGATTTGTTGAGGACAAAAGGAATAGCACAGATGAATCAAGGTCAGAAAGGTGAGTAAAAATAAGACAGTTATTATGTCTTTTTTGAAAGCAGAAGCAGATTAGAAAATAGGTCAGGAAGTGCAGGAAAAATGTTATTTGTATTCTGTGGATTTGGAAAGGGCGGGCACAACTGAATGCAACGAGTTTGTAGTAACCTCTTATTCTACTCCTAGGCAATGATGTATTCCATATTATTTCTTATTATTAGTAGTACTACATTGTATTTTTAAAAAGATTTCCCTTCCAAAATCAAAATCCCGTTGTGATGCTGTAAAATTGGAGAGTAGGAGAAAGTTTCTGTGGTGAGGAACCTCTGGGATGCGGGAGACAAGCAAAGAGGGGCAGTGGAATGAGGAGGTTTGTCAGGAGTCACGAGGCAAAGCAGAAAGCAAAGTTTGTCTCTATGTCCCAAAGAAACACAGACAAACTTAACAGAACCACTGAATTTTGCCTTTTTCTCAGATGCCTCCAAATTGTTGTCCAAATACAGAAACTTCTGAAGTCGTTTGGAAAATGGAAATGCTTGATCTTATCCCCTTCCTGCTGTCTAGATTTTAGCCTGCATTGCTCAAGAAATAAATCCTGAGGTCAAGTGTGCTGCTTGTAGAGGTGTCCACGAGGGGAAAAAGGCAGAGAAAAGCGACCAGTCCATTCCCTCCCTGCCCTTGAAGCTCAGACAGATCTCGTGCAGTGGCAGAATTCTCAGGTGTTCTGCCTTTCTAAACTTTCATGGATGAGAAGTCAATGAAAAAAGCCACACTTTCTTCCCCTCTGAGAGCCCAGAACCCTCAGATCACCCCCCAGGGCTTAGATCTGCACCCCTCCCTTTCCACCCACTTCAAGGGGGGTTTATTTACTTCTCTTTTCTGCTCTTGTATTAATGCAGAAAAAGGATGGGCAAACAAACCCAACAATTGCTGCTGACAAGGAGAACAGGGCAGCGAAGCAAAGCTCTCAAAACCATGCCCAGAAATACATATTTTAGTACAGAAAGATTTCTGACACAAAAGGAAGATCTCTGATACGAAAGTGCTTGATTAAAAGAAATCAGGCAGTTTTAGTTATTTTAGAAACTGACCCCGCAATATCTTTTCCTTAAAATGAAGTAACACATTTTAGGTACACACATAAAAAAAATGACAAAAATGAGTGAATTTCAAGTCGGGGTGTGTGTGTGTGTTTGTTTTTGATTTGTCGTTGTTGTTTTTTCAAAAAATAATAGTAGTAAATATATTTTAATTCGATTTGAATATCTGTGCACTGACATGAGAAAGCAAAACATTTCCACAGTAAGAGGCATTACTTTTAAAACCAGATCATGGCACTGTGAGGTTGCCTTAAGATTGCATCTTTCTTTAATGATGTAAGAAAAGAGAAATGCAACTAAATTTTTACAAACATACAACAATGCATTAAAAGTCTTAAGAATGTTATTGTTTAGCTTTGAAGGACATTTAAAATAAGTTTTGCTTTTGAGAGCTTACTGCCTTTGCCACATACTTCCTCCAAATTCCTGCAGCATGTAAGGGAAATGCTCTCCAGAATGCAGATTTCCTTGTGGATGTGTGGATTATTCTTCCTTAATCTCAAGTATCAATGACTGGAATCTTATCCTAAATAAGGAGCTGACATGTGTAACTAATTTTCAAAAGAACTTTCTTTAAGCTTATTACCAAAGCAACTGCTTTTATTCTTAAGGTTTGAATAATAAACGTAAAGGTAATTCCTTTATCACCCTGCATAAAGTCCTTTATTACACTGTGTACTAGCAAAAAATATAAGTAACTTCTAAAACAGTCACAAAACATTGCTTCATTGCTTTATCACTTTATTTCTAGCCAGTATTTCTCATGGAATAATGTGCCAAAAAGTTTTCAGTGTGCTCTATCTACAATTAGACACACTCAAATTAATCGTTACTATTCACAGAAAAAATATTCAGCCACTGTCTAAAATGCAATAAAACATTTATCACAGTTGCAAACCTTGATTCTTGAGCTTTGGCTGCGTAGATTTTGATTTTTAATTTTTATTGCTATCCTTGGCTTCCAACCCCTTCGTGTGAGCTTTCAAAGGAGATAATCAGGGCAGAAGGGAACTAATCAAGATTGCAGCAGAACGAGCATATAGGCACAGTGTTCACAATTTAACAAGCTTAGTGATTAAAAAGTTCTGATCATACAATGATTTGTTTCCGTGGAAGACAGAGCTCTCTCAGGATCATTTTTTAACACAATAATTTATAAGCTTAATATTTCGCATAGTTTTGAAATTAATTTTTTTCCCCTCAATACTTGTTGGTGTTTAATTTTCATACGACTGTTTTATTGAGCTGAGATGTAACAATGACACTTTAGAAACTTTCAGGTGCCTGCCTTTCTTTACACTGGTTTACCCATAAATGATGCAGAGAAATGGAAATAGAAAGTCCTCTAAAATATGAACTGCTCCTGTACAATGAAGTTATTAAAATTGCAGATACACAGCCCTCGGGTTAAGCTGCTCTATAATAACAGTAGCTGTATTCAGCAACTACAAAGGAATAGTATAATTTCTTTTGGAGGCAAAGACATTCCTGGGTGGAAATGAACGCAGAAAAATTCTCTGGTGTGACAGGGGGCAGCATGTGAAGAGAATCCCAGCAGAACATTAATCTGAACAGGAAAATTAGTTTCAATACTTGGTGCTATTTACTATTATTTTCTGTTCCCTCGGTTTTGTCTGGGAACAGCATTTTGCAAAGGACAATGCAGGCTGAGTTGTTTTCATGGAATCTCAGAACAGTTTGGGTTGGAAGGGACCTTTAAAGTCCACCCATCCAACCCTCCTGTGATGAGCAGGGACACCTTCCCGTGGCTCAGCCTGCTCAGAACAGCCAACCTGACCCTGAAGGTTTCCAGGGCTGGGGCAGCCACAGCTTCTCTGGGCAACCTGTGCCAGGGCCTCCCCACCCTCACTGTAAGAAATGTCTTTATCTAGGCTAAATCTACCCTTTTTTAGTTTAAGACCTTGTTCTGTTGCAACAGGCCTTGCTGAAAAGTCTGTCCTCATCTTTCTTATTGGGAGTACTGGGAGGCTGCTCTGAGGTCTCCCTGGAGCCTTCTCTTCTCCAGGCTGAACAACCCCAACTCTCTCAGCCTTGGTTTATAGGAGAGATGTTCCCCTCTGATCCCCTTGAGCCCCACTCTTAAACCTTGACATAATGATTTTCTTTCTTGCTGTGGGAAAAGGTTTCCTAGGAAAACCTAAAAAAGAAAAAAGAAATTAAATAGTAAACATGGAGTAACTAGAATGAGATCTGGACAGAATAAAAGATGCAGATTAGAATAAAGACATTTAGGACAAAAAGACAGTGGAATTAAATA